CTCAAGGAGAATTCAAGGCCTTGACCCTTGCCTGGCCTTCTCATCTGGGGCACAGTGACATTTGTTCACCAAACCCCAAAGCTAGCTGTAAAGGACATCCAGAAGTATCTCTTTTCCCCACGTTTTCAGCTCATCAACTATTGAAGGACACCTAACAAGTCTTACGGTCTGAAAGGTTTTTTTTGTTTGTTTTGGTTTGCTTTGCTTTAGTTTTTAACCAAAATGAACTTCTGTGCAGCCCACCCTTCAACACTCACTCTTCAATGCCTAGAGCAAATGTCACTTCCTCCAAGCAGCCCTCCCTGATGCCCTGATGCACAGCTTACAGTGTTCCCTCTCTCCCTTAAACTCCCACAACACTTTCTTGGAGACCTTGTTACATATTGCCTTGAGAAGTTTTGGACATGTACAATAGTCAGAACAAGGGAGATGGTCATCCTCAATATTTTTTCTAGTCAGAAATCAGCAGAGTGCCTGGCTGGTTAAAGCAGCACAGTCTAATGCTAATGCTTTCACAATAAGGAAGTCCTAAGGGAAGGTGGCAGAGCTGGTCCCGGGTCCAGAAACAACATTGTATGAGAAACTGCTGAAGAATCACAAGGAGCTTAACCTTTAACCCAGAAAAGAAAAAACTGGAGATGTGGGGGAAGGGCCATCTAGAAGAGGAGGTAGGTTCCCCATGTGGTTCCCAAGTTACACAGGAAGAGAGATTTCAGCTCACCATAAGGACAATTTTTGTAATAGAACTTCCCAGCAACCAAATGGGCTTTCCTAGAAGTAGTGACCTCTCCATCACTAGATATAATCAAGCAGCGCCCAAGAACCCATGTCATGGAGGTGGTGGAGAAGGATTCCCACACCAACTGGAAGTTAAGCTAGATGACTTCTAAATTTTCTTCTAATTATAATGTCCTATGAGTCTCTTGAATCAAGGATAGTTCCCTACTCTCTTCTACCTACCACGTGTCCTTGTTCATAATAGGCATTCAATAAACATTGAGTGAATGAATGAATGATTGACCAATTGAATGGTGGATGAATGGGAGAATTTTGTAGCATCTAAAGAGCTCCTTTTGGTAGAGGCAATACGAAATAATAAGTTTAATTGACTTCAAGAAATGACGACATGACAGCCCTTCCCATCTCCCTTTCCAC